GTAAGAGAGAGAGAGGAAACGCGACAAGAAGATAATGAGAAAGAAAAGATTGCAAAAAAAGAAAAAGAGAAAGAAAACAAGAGTAGACGGGGAGGGACGGGGTAACGCGACAAGAAGATAATGAGAAGGAAAAGATTAAAAAATAAAAGTAAGAGAGAAAGGAAACGCGACAAGAAGATAATGAGAAAGAAAAGATTACAAAAAGAAAAAGAAAGAAAACGAGAGTAGACGGGGAGGGGCGGGGTAACGCGACAAGAAGATAATGAGAAAGAAAAGATTGCAAAAAAAGAAAAAGAGAAAGAAAACAAGAGTAGACGAAGAGGGACGGGGTAACGCGACAAGAAGATAATGAGAAAGAAAAGATTACAAAAAAGAAAAAGAGAAAGAAAACAAGAGTAGACGGGGAGGGGAACGCGACAAGAAGATAATGAGAAGGAAAAGATTAAAATAGAGAGGAAACGCGACAAAAGATAATGAGAAAGAAAAGATTGCAAAAAAAGAAAAAGAGAAAGAAAACGAGAGTAGACGGGGAGGGACGGGGTAACGCGACAAGAAGATAATGAGAAAGAAAAGATTGCAAAAAAGAAAAAGAGAAAGAAAACAAGAGTAGACGGGGATGGGCGGGGGAACGCGACAAGAAGATAATGAGAAAGAAAAGATTACAAGAAAGAAAAAGAGAAAGAAAACAAGAGTAGACGGGATGGGCGGGCGCAGCAAGAACACCGACGAAATTCCACCCCGACCTGGACCTCGAAGGACCTCGAAGTCGTCGTCGATTCCTCGAAGTCCTCGGACCTCCTCGAAGATCGACCTGGACGAAGTCGTCGTCGATCCCGACCTGGACCTCGAAGTCGTCGTCGATCCCGACCTCGAAGTCGTCGTCGATCCCGACCTGGACCTCGAAGTCGTCGTCGATCCGACCTGGACCTCGAAGTCGTCGTCGATCCCGACCTGGACCTCGAAGTCGTCGTCGATCCCGACCTGGACCTCGAAGTCGTCGTCGATCCCGACCTGGACCTCGAAGTCGTCGTCGGACCTCGAAGTCGTCGTCGATCCCGAACCTCGAAGTCGTCGTCGATCCCGACCTGGACCTCGAAGTCGTCGTCGATCCCGACCTGGACCTCGAAGTCGAAGTCGTCGTCGATCCCGACCTGGACCTCGAAGTCGTCGTCGATCCCGACCTGTCGTCGTGACCTGGACCTCGAAGTCGTCGTCGATCCCGACCTGGACCTCGAAGTCGTCGTCGATCCCGACCTGGACCTCGAAGTCGTCGTCGATTCAATGTTTGATCACCTTCGCCGTAAATTCTCTCGGTCGAGGTACAGATCTGCTAGGTGGGTGCGGGGAATAAAATGCCTTGGTAAGATGTGTGACGAAATTGCGCTTGCTATTCTTTGTTTTAACTATTAAACGCACATCTTCGTACTCTTAAACCGTCGGGAAGGACCGGCCAACGTTCGAAAACATCAAAGAAAACCTTTAAAACCTTAAAGAACACATTGGGAATCTCTATCACGAAGGTCAATTGCTTATGTTATAAAAGAAATTAAAACTGAGGAGAAAGTGAAATATATATGAAAAGACTTTTATCTCTCTCTTTATTTTCCATCTAACATTTTCGGAATATCGTGGGTTTATTCATAAAACGGAAGGTGTGTGGAAAGGTATGAATGAGAACGAATATCTTCACAATACAAGAGATGTATTTAACCGGTTTCGATTATATCTTCGTCAGAAATACATGTATATCTGACGAAGATGTAATCGAAACCGGTTAAATACATCTCTTGTATTGTGAAGATATTCGTTCTCATTCATACCTTTCCACATTTGTCAACATAAATACGGTTCAAAACGGAAGGGGATAAATTGACCTCGCTTAACCGGAGATATAACCCCAAGCCAGCGGTCTCTACCTTTTGCCTCGATGCCCTCTCTCCATGACCAAAGTGACGTCATCAACAGAGTTTTCGACGTCATGGAATGTGGTTGTGAGGCGTTCGATTCCCTTCGTGCGTTCTGGTCGGCCTGACTTCTGCTTCGTTCATGGCGGGAAAATCTCCTGATTCTCTCTTCCACGTTCTGATTTATCCTTGTTTCATATCTTTTATTCTCTTATCTTTATTTGTGATTATTTACAGTATCTGTTTATCTAATGATTTTCTGAATATGCTAATTTCAAAAATCCTTTTTCTGTAGAAAAGTGCTTAATGGAGGAGTGAAGGGGAATGAACGAGGAATAAAGAATAAGAGATGAAATACAAAGGAAAATCGGCCTTATAGATCACTGAATAGAGGCGATGAGTCACGCCCAGCGATTTTCTGATTTAAAATGTCTTTTGATTCGTATTAGCATTCTTCATCCCCCAATATGAATATTTTGATAAGATAAATCCCGAGTTTCTCAACAGATAAAAATGGCTTATCTTAATTCTCATGATTTATGACCGTTGATACCACAAGAACATCCGTTGACAAGGACCTCGATTAAAACTTCCGTTAAATCTTATTTTGACAGAGTAAGAAGAATGTGTTGGGACATATTGAACCATTCGAATGTTGCAAGATAAATAATTAGCATAATTAAGTATACATGGCTGTGTTGTACAAGCTAAACCTCCTTAATCCGGAATTCAGTTTTTCGGTATAATTCCACTTTGTCCGACGGCTGTTCGTGGCCTCTGGCTCGGCGCGCATTCTCTTTATTTCTCTTGTTCCTCATATTTATCTCTGTCCTGTTGTCTACACATTCACTCTCAGGCAGCTCGACGAAAATGACAGCATCATGTGAACTATAAAGTCTTACGTAAAGTGTTTTGGTAATTCTAGGTTTCGAATATTTCTAATCCGGCAAAGGCCAGGTTCCCAGAGTGCCGGATTTGAGGCGATCGGTTATCCTACTGTCGGTTTGCTCCGAAACGAATGATTTTCGTTTTCTTTAGCACGTTTCCGGTCAGGTAAAAATATGTCGAAGAGATACGAAAGTTATCTTATCACTGATATTTCAGGTATTTATGAGTAAACAGAATGACAGCTTCCCGCCATGCAATCCTAACGCTCTGTCATGTTCTCCATTAACACTCTAAACTCCTATTTCAAAAGACTCCATTAATGCCACTCAAATACTCTATGAATGACAACGACTTCGGTAGCGAATCTTATCGGGAAGCATTTACAAGAACATCAGCTGATAAGGAGATTGGCGCCTCCACTCTTCACTCCCGCACGTTCCTTTTCCTTCCGTGATTTTGCAGCTGGGGATCCGTGTGAAGATTTCTGATACAGCTGTTGGACGGATGGCGAAATAAGGGGAAATTTATCCCTAATGGAAATAAACACTAAACGAAGTAATTGTTGATGCAGAAATCCCATTTTCTTTTACGTATGGTCATAAAAGCATTAGCTGTCTTCATCCCCCTAATAGGAATATTTTGATTAAGATATATCCCGAGTTTCTCAACATATAAAAATGGCTTATCTTAATCCTCATGATTCATGACTGTTAATACCACATGCATGTTAAAGAGAGTGAGAGAGAGAGATGCAGGGAAATACACAAGTGAATATATTTCGTGAATATAATGATAGGCGGTTATGGCTATAGATTTTGAACCCTTTATTGCATCGGTAAAAAAACAGTGAAACAAAATAAAAATCGAACAGGATTTTGTATCGATAAAAAAAAAAAAAAAAAAAAAAAAACAGTGAAACAAAATAAAAATCGAACAGGATTTAGAAGTGAAGCAAAATAACAATCGAACATACAAGACTTGACACAAATTACAGTAACGTCCAGATTAGTGTGTTTGTGTTTGTCCAAAAAATATATTAGCCTAATTTTGACCCTCAGTGTCAATAAATGAACGCATCCATGCAAGTATTATAAATATAACAAAGCCACAAGAATGAAAGTTCCTTTTTTGCGTCCAAACAAAAATGAAAACTGATGAGGCTATTTTTTCATTATTCATTTCTACAAACATCTAAAGAGAACAACAGCTTTTCAAAGTCATCAAATCATCTTCTTAGTTCTTGTGGGTAATCATAACACTTATTATTCATAGTTACTAGTGATGACAAGAGTGATACGTGGGAATAAAGAGTTTGTTGTGTTCTGCGATTTTTTTTTTTTTTTTTGGGGGGGGGGGGTAATGAAATTTATTGAATATAAGAACATTTTTTGACGGGCGTTGTCGGGACCTGTGGGCGGTGGGGCGCAAAACAGGAACTTCGATTCTCAGAGCCAAAGTATTTACAACTGAAAAAGACAAAAGATAGATAAATGAAAAAAATAATAATTCTGACTCTTTGTTTCAAGAAATGAATGTGTCCAAATAAGGTAATTTGACGTACCAAATAGATAGATTTCCCACTCCCTTTCTTCTTTCTTTTCAACCCTTTACTAACCTCCTGAAGTTATAAGGAAACGCTAGGTATCGGAAATTCTCTTTACTTCTCGAGGACATACACCCAAGCAGCGACATGGCAGCGAGCGAAGCGACATGCGGCCACCCCGACCCCTGGTGGCAGCGCGACTGACCTCTCGCCACTCCTCGAACCCCCCCCCCCACCTCCTCCCAGACTCACTGGCGACTCTCCGCCCAACTGCCACTCACTCCCGAACAAGCGCTAAATACCAATTACAATGGGGGGAGCAATTGCTAATTCAAATGAAATATTACCGAAATAACACTACACCTCACAACTCACTGTTATCCAGAGAGCATCTGTTTTTCGCCAACACAAAACTTTTTTTGTCCTATCATGTTCACCTGTACATTTTTTCTTAAGAATTTGATTGTGAAAAATCATACGGATATGCAAAACGCGCTAAAAAGAAAAAGCAGGGGATAAAGATATAAAATTAAAACACAGTGAGACTGTATTACACGTCACGGAAGGCACATGACGTCATAGAATTGGTCAAACGTTTTTCCAGTACATTGCGCCATCGTTTACGCCTTATAAGTAGTTTCGAGCGAGCCCATGGCGCCCACTCCTCTCCTGCGTCGCCCTCGGGAAGTTACACTGAAGATCTACACTGAGCATGGCGAGTCAGTCCTCCTGCGTCCCCTTGCTCCTTTATTTTTGGCGGCGTCGCTGGCGGCCCCGACGCCTGCGGGAAGGGCGGCTTCCTCCGCCGTTCCCGTCATCCGAACGGAACTCGGGTTGAAATCGGTCCCTTGGAGAAGGCGTTCGTGGTCTGTTCGCCCGAAGTGGAACCCGTCTTAGACCTCCATGAATACCAGGTGAGTGTCGCAGGCGCGCCGGTTTGTTAATAGATTAGGATTTTAATGACCAACAGGTGCGGCAAATGAACCTTTCGGGAGTGCCAGTGACGGATTGGTTGATTGCAAGGTAGGAAAAGTATTGAGTTTAATGCTATTCCAAAGAAAGGTTCTGTTGCCTGTTGGTGCACACAAGCGTACTCCGCATCACGGTAGTTTACCTTGATTTCATGAAATCACGTAAAGACGGCAAAGTCATTTACTGGAAAACAGAACCTAATTCCCTTCCCTGCCGACAGGTGGCGTGGAGGGACAGCGACGGACGCTCCGTCAGCCAGGATCCCGAGGCACCGCTGTTCGCCCTCGGCCGAGGCACTCACGTCCCTCAGTCGTACCTCGTGGTGGCGCCCTTCGGCCCAGACGTCGCCGGCGTGTACAGCTGCGTCCTGCTCCTCCGGGGACGGGAAGTGGCGTCCTCGACCGTCGACCTTCAGCTCAAGGGAACACGCTCAGCCTCAGCAGAGAACTCGAGCGAAATTCCAAATCTTCATTAGTACAAAAAAACATCTAGGTTATATCTATTTATTTGTTCTATTTATTCGATATTATGCGTGATGTTCATTTCCCATTTGATAAACTAGTTCAAGGGAACACGCCCATCCTGAGCAGGGAACTCGAGCGAAATTCCTAGCATATGTTACTATTTATTTGTTCTATTTATTTCGTACTGTGTTATCTTTTATGTGTCAATAAAAATCATTTTTTAAAAATAAGATTTTATTTACTTCCCATTTTCTATAACCTTGTGCCATTTTTTTCTCCCCCCTACACTCTCTCCTTCCCTTCCCCTTCCCATTTTCCTCCCTCATTCCCTGAGATGTTTTCTTTCTTTGGATTTCTAAAGTCGTACTAAACTTTTTCCCAAATTTCGATTGAAATCAGCATCTTTAAGCGTGGATGGTTGAATATAATAGATATATGCACACACATACACACGCACACACACAAATACATACACACACACACACACACACACACACACACACACATATATTATATATATATATATATATATATATATATATATTGTATATATATACATTGTAAAGGGCATGAAATAAACTTTAACATCCACACAAAATTCCTTAGGTGTTGAAACTACGATATCAACAAATGATAGATTATAGCGTCAACAACTACATGTTCACAAAATCATGAGGCCTACAGGCAAATATACCATGAAATAAGAGAAAATCAACACGCCAGATCGCAAAGAATAAAAGGTAATTATCGATGAGGAGTGGAAACGAGGACTGGTTTTCCTGCTGAGAATAAATTCCGAGTGATGGAGTGCAGTTCCCCGAGTCGAGCTGCTCTCTTTAGTGAGAGAGACGACGCTTCCTATGACGGGATAACCCACAGCCGACGGCGCGGTCAGTCTCAGTAGAGAGAGAGAGAGAGAGAGAGAGAGAGAGAGAGAGAGAGAGAGAGAGAGAGAGAGAGAGAGAGAGAGAGAGAGAGAGAGAGAGAGAGAGAGAGAGAGAGAGAGAGAGAGAGAGAGAGAGAGAGAGAGAGAATTTATACTAAAGTCACAGTTACTGCAACTTTTAAAGGAGAGAAAATAGGAGAGACGGAGAGCCAATGCAAGAGAATGAGGAGAGAGGAAAAGGGGGGGAGGGGGGTCCAAGATAACGTGTCCCCAACATGTCTTCCAATCAGCTGTCTTCCACGTCATCTTGGACGTCACTCCGACCTGTTCGTCATCGAGTTCTTGATTTTGGCGATTCATTCCTACTGGTCTTTCTATTAAAAAACTCATAAAATGATTATCATTAGAGATGGTTATATATGTGGAAGGAGACGAATGGGTCAGCCAGATGCGGTTACTCGTATGTTTAATGGTCCTGAATAAGGTCAGGTGGAGACGGATAAGCGTCTCCAATGCACAAGCACACACAGAGTGACTGACTATTATACACAAATAAAACTTAAGAACAAATATAGAAAGCAGAAGCCTTATCCAGAAGCGAGAATCCATTCACGCGACCGAAATAGGGAAATTCTAAGGCGCATGCAAAAGCGTCTGCTGATTGGAATTGAATCCCTTCCTGGCTATAAAGCGAATTTTCGTCGTCTGCTGAGCAAGAGCGAGCAAATTTACTGACGTCATAGGCGGATTCAATCCTATGTAGTTACTGATCCTGTAAGTGTAAATGTTTATGATGACAAAAGTAATCCTTAGATCTGAATGTTTTGCTCCATTTGAGAACGTGGATATAGGGCACATGAAGAAAAGAGAAGAAGAAAACATGATTTTCAACCTTTTCGGATTTTATTTTTATTTTTACTTGTATTTATAGGTGGTTCATTTGTCAGAGTATAGAAGAAATACAAATGTTTGTCGAATTGTTGCCTTTCATTCCGATTCCTTTAATGGGTTCAGATCCTCTTGTCTTATTCTGAAGTTCATTTGCCAGAGTATAGGAGAAATACAAATGATTATCGAACTTATCTTTCATTCCGATTCCTTTAATGGGTTCAGATCCTCTCGCCTATTCTCGAAGACTCTTTTATCATACCATAAACAAGATAGTTTGCTTTAATCATAGACAGATAGAGAGAGAGAGAGGTCTTTCTATTAAAAACTCATGATTATCAAATATTTAATACGAATACTTGATATTAATCATAATCATTAAAAAGACATGTTTATAATCACCAAATATTTACATTATTCGTAGTTGTAGTAGTAGAAAAGCGATGGCAAGAAGCGTAGAACTAAAAGGATCTTGTTACTATTTCCCGTTTCACTTTCCGGCGTTCGGGACGAGAAAGTCTGCGGGAACTTCCATCAAATTTCTTTACTGTTGCATTTCTATGGTTGTTATCCTCTTGACCTACCGACGAAATACTAGCAGAATAGAAAGAGAAGCAGAGAGAAGCGGAGAAACGAAAGCGAGAGGAGAAGAAGGGAGTGAAAGATGAAGAGAGAGGTGGATGTAAGGAAAAGGAAAAAAATAAAAACTATCAAGATATGGTATCTCTCTTGATAAACCAATCAAGACGTCATTTTGTAAGATAAGAAGTTTGTATATCTTGCAGGAGTGATGTAAGAAGGTATTTCCTTTTATTACCGCATCACGCACGCGCTCTGACGTTTTCCCGCCAAAACCGCGCTTTCCCGACGCGTTGCGCCATTCTTTTGTCTTCGCCAAATGGTAACCGTAGTGCTGAGCTGTCATATTACAAACATAATTGCTTTTTTCAAACACATTTCCTCCTTCTTCGTAAAAGGGACGAATTAGCATCTTCCTGCATCCTGCATATATTCCTTAGGAAATTGGCTGATGGTCCGCTAGGGATCCTTTTCGCTGGAAAGACGAAGGAGAGCTTAAAACTGTTGAAAGTCTTCGCCGTTTCGATATCTATGTTTATTATATTTATATCTATGTTTATTATATTATATTCATTATAAACGGAGTATTTGTTTACATGTTTATTGAGCAGAGTTTCATCAGTGTGAATGTGAGGTTAATGAATATATTCTTTTCAGTTCGGAAGTGTTCGGTATTATGCACAAAATACATACTTTTCACATGTCTCAGGAGATCTGAAAATTAGCACACGATCGCTACCATGTTTTATAACTAAAGGAATAATTGAATCCTTAAAATAAAAGAGACATAAAGGAAGGAATTAAGATATTGATGAAATAAAAGAAACGCAGAAACAAAAGCCATAAATAAAAGCCTTAAAGGAGATACGAAAATAAACTAATAAAACGATAAAAGACCCACGTGGATTTCACTTCACGCGGGAAGCGTTAGGTTCGGACGATCAGCTGATCAAGGGGGGGGGATGGAGGTACGTTTCACTAATCTCAAAGAACTGAACTGGTTGGCTTGGATTTCCATGGTTTGATACACATATTTCAGAATGAAAGATGGGGGGGGGGGATATATAGAAGAAATATAATAGAATTGAAAGATGTGGGGAAAATATATAGAATTGTTATTATGTTATGATTTGTTTTAAGTACGTTCCTCGTGCTAAACGTTCATTCATGAAATCACACTATCAGAGGAGGCGATAAGATGCCCGGAGATAACGAGCGACACGTGGCTCAACAGTAGTGTTATGACACAATCATTTTGATGGATTGGTAATCTGTGCTTCTGATTTGATAACAATTGTGTTTGTGGCCGCATCAGCAGCGAATGTATGTTATATCTGTTGTCTACAGAAAAAATGTATGCAACACACACACACACACACCACACACACACACAACACACACACACACACACACACACACACACACACACACACACACACACACACACACACACATATATATATATATATATATATATATATATATATATATATATTTGTCAAGAACTTGACAAACCTGTGTCGAGGCAGCTCGAAACTTAAGGTTATAAGAGTTTCTTTCTTTCTTTAACAGTTTCTTTGCCAACGATACTGTGAGAAACTCCAAATATGAATGCGTCTATTTTATGCACATTATATCTGTATCAAATCTAGATATACCAATTAAATACTTGAGTTCTTTATCTGTTTATTTCGCCCACAAATTAACATACAGTCCCCATCAGCAATGCTCTGTTTCTCTCCCTCCATTTCTCTCGGTCTACATAGCACTACTTCTCTATTTAATTCCCTTTCTTGTTTCCTCTCACATCCACGTCTATCTATCCGTTTATCTATCAGTGATTTGTTTACTTGAAACCTTTAACCTCGCGCCAATCTTCTCTAATTTATTCTTTCCAGTTCGTTCCTGTTGACTCTTATCTCCCATGTGCTTAAGGTCGAGATCGTTTCGAGCAAGAGGGCGCTGGCACAAAACGTTTATAGGAAAGATTTTCTCATTATGGAAGGAAAGAATTTACATGAAAGAAACAGGACGATAATCAGAGGGACAAGAAATATTCAAAATCTAGGAGCGAGACAATTTTTGCCGTGGGAAGGCGAAATGCTCCTTCGCTAATCTCGCTGAATGAGCCGAATTGCGGGGGGGAAAGAAGCATAGATGGAAGGGAATCATGATAAAAAGCAGCAAATCAATGCTAATTTTGTTTTCACGCGATAAAGCATTTCGCAAGGCCAGATTCCTCGCTCTTAACGTCGCTCAAAGGAGACGGTGAGCTTCCCAAGGAGATCGAACGAAGCGGGTACAAAGTATTATTATAATTATCGAAATATTGTCCTTATAATTCTTTTAATTTGTCTTTTTGCCACATTATTGCCCTTAATACTGTTGTCATGTTTGATCAACTATGTAAATCACACATATATGTGTGTGTGATTTATAATTTATCTGCTACAGTTATACGCTACAACATATAGGCTACTCACACAAATTCAAACACACACACACAATATATATATATATATATATATATATATATATATATATATATATATATTATATGTGTGTGTGTGTGTGTGTGTGTGTGTGTGTGTGTGTGTGTGTGTGTGTGTGTGTGTGTGTGTGATGTGTGTGTGTAATTTGTGTGCGTGTATTTGTGAATTTGTGTGCGTGCATTTTGTACTGTACACATAAAGAAACCTGAGGTACACGTCAGCGTGAGAGAGATAAAACCTTTAGCGATAAGAGCCACGCGTGCACAGGAGTTACGTCACCGAGTCTCACGCCCACG